AGCAGGAACAACAGCAGCTTATTCACAACTAGTCTTGTTGTGAGAGACACACAAACAAACACACACTGAGAGACACACACACACACAACACGCACACAGCATCACTAACACAAGCTAGTGACAGGAAATGTCATATGTCGAGGGTATATTAGAAACAAAATTTTCTTTTAACAATGTCATATGTCGAGGGTATATTAGAACCAACATTTTCTTTAACTTTTTTTTTAACTTAAAAAGTCAAAATGAGACACCCGTTTCAATTAAATTACAGCATAATGTGTGATGTAGTTCGGCCGTTGAAACCGTTTGTTTGACAGGAACATTTTCAAACGTAACGCGACAGTCGAACCAGGAAAAAGTTGTCAAACTACGCAGGCGACGGGGGGGAAAAAAGCACTAGACTTCCGTCACAAGTTCGTATTCAATCACATAATCCGTAGATAAAATATAACACTATTCTTACCGTGATTCGACACTTTGACGTTTCAGTGTGTCACTGACAAATACTCACGGACTACTGACGGCGTGAGTTTCCCATACAACTTTGAGAAATTGCCTCCTTGAACTTGCACAGACCCATGGGCATTTCGTCCAATCACAGGCGTTTTATCGGTTGGTCCCGCCTTTACGTCATTGGGCTCGTCCAATAGCATGGCAGCATGTCTTAAGTCACTGGGGAAACTTCCTGGTGGATTGACACTTGCAGCTGATAACACACTTGTCTCCTCGACAGACTGTCTTTATCGTTTTTTTTTATCCCAGCTGCTCCTCAAATGGAGGTCGGTTCACTTTATCCACAACATTCTCCTTCCACACCGCAGCCAACCAGCTGCATTTATCCAGAGGTTTGTTGCTTAAATTAATCTTTTATGAAGTTACAAGAGTAGGAGGTCAAAGAGGTTTGTTGCTTAAATTAATCTTTTATAAAATATTTTTCGGTCGCGAACTGTTTCATATTTCTTCTAATAATAAGTCAAACAAAATGTAGTCAATCAATACATCATATAGTTCCTTTATTTAATGAAAGTGTTTTCTTGTACAATCATCATCCCTTCAATGTGTTTCCTGAAAAACAAGATGACCATCAACTAGGCCCTGAAAAAGAAAAATAAGTTTGATATTAGCAAAAATAAATCTGCTATAATACAAAGAGTATTGTACAATTTATATAAAAAATATTCCACTTCAAAAACTTTAATTCTATCTATTATTTTCATTAGCAAAAAATACACAACAAGTATCTCTGATCTAAAGGGCACTGACAGGGGTGGCTCAAAACATGTTGGTTTCCTGGTCCAGATTATAGTTTGCCTCCCTAGTCCCCCATCCTTCAACACACAACCCACTCTCTCAAACATTATTCCACACTCTTCAAACACTCCAACCAAACCACGTTGGAATTATAGAAGCTAACAGAGACCTGGGAAATGAACGGTCTCCACGGGGCCTCCTCTCCTGCCGCCTGTCAGTCCAGAATCTCTTTAATGCACCAGCAGCACAGGAGGAAATACAGGCACTCCTTAACTGTCTGGATGAAACTGTAGGCGAAGTTTCCTCCAAAGAAGTTCTTGTTTCTCCCCAGACCCACCGCCACATCCCGGAGGTGCTGTCCCAGTGAGGAGGAGGAGGGGATAGGCATGGCTTGGGGAAGAGGACGCTGTGGATGCATGGCTGGTTAGGTGGAAGCAATGGTGAGAAGTTGCTGTTGGTACTGGACCAGATGTGTTCAACAACTGAGGTCCGCTCTGTGCCCCTGACGCAGTGAGTCAGTCCATCTACTTATAACCTTCTGTGTTGAGCTGCTGCCTGCCATCACTCACATCCTGCATTTGCTGGACCCTTCTGATTGATAACAGACCTCGGTTACCTTCACAGTCCCTTTTCTGTGTATAGTGCCCCCACACAGGGACGCTTTCTGAACTCTGGTAATCCCTGAACCCACTCCCATTGGCTGCAGAAGTCATGTGATAACAAACTGGAGAGTTCCAGTAGAAAACAACACTGCACTACAGCCTTTATTCTCCCTGTTGAAAATGGCATTAGAGGTGATATATATGTATATATATATATTTTAATGTATTTAAATATAAGCTGATGACATGAACATATATGTAAATATGTATTATATATCTATATATATGTATTTAAATATATGCTGATGACATGAACAGATATATAGATATGTATTATATATCTATAAACATATATAGATATGTATTATATGTCTATATATGTATTTAAATATAAGCAGATGACCTGAACATATATATAGATATGTATTATATATCTATAAATATCTCTCTCTCTATATATATATATATATCTACAAATATATGTTTTTGTCATGGGCTTATACTTCTTCTGCCCACTGAACAACCACACTTTAACCCACAAGCAGCTGCGCACCTGTCAGTCATCGGTGTGTGTGTTTTTCTAATGAAGTTCGGTGTCTCTTTGCTCTACAGGGTAGTTTATTTAAGTAGGTCAACAATGTTAGCAGTTTGGAGGAATTTTAACATCAGGGACGAAGGCAGGAGCAAGACAAAACACCTGAAGATGAGCCTTAGCTGTGAATATGCCAACATCTTTTCAACATCCCGGTCAATAAACGAGGCACGTACACCTCACCACGTCACTTTTCTGTTGGGACTTATTTCACCAACATGGTTTGTGTTCATTTGTTTATTGAAACACTGTCAACCAGTTCGTTACATATTGACTGAAACCCAGCCTCAAATACTGGAGGCTGTACTCTTTACTGTCAAGTACTCAAATGAACTCGTACTCCTGTTGTTTTGTGGAGGGGAACGACCAGAGTTTTTATGAATTGTGTGTAATTTGTGAGGTCTCCTATAATTTCTAATGTATCTATTTTAGATAGTTGATTTACACAGTAACACTTTTGATGTGTTGATTAATGTGCACGTTGCTAACTTAATTTACAATATTCTTCATAATATTAACACATAATTCAGATACTTTCATAAACCAAACACACAAACACAGGTGAATGATATATGTATTTATGTATGCAATCTATATATTTTCAGATACAGATGTAAACAGATATTTTCCCTAACAACGAAAAAGTAATAAAAACATACACATACTGTATAAAGTAAAAACCGTCATCTGTGCACACTAACTGAAAAGAAACCTTTGGCTTTGAACACAACACAAATCAAAAGAGGAACAGCATCATTAGCACTAACACCATCACCGACACAACACTGGTTTCAAAGCATTTTCATGCAACAAAGGCAACTGTGATGAACCCACGGTATCATGGGACCAGGTCTAGAAAGATGCAGAGAGTCAGGTGGAACAAACACTAACACACACACACACACCTCCAGTCCACGTGTCGTGTGTGTGTGTGTAAGGCTGATGCAGCTGTCTCTCTGGTGTGTATGTATGTACTGTATGTTAAATTTACACATGAGGCCACTTCAGACTCTGAGGACTAGTTGACAGTTTAAGGTTTACGTTAAGATCTCTCATATTTCAGGAGTTCTGTTACAACCTTGAATGGCTTCGAGAGCGACCTCAGTGTCGTGTGTGTGTGGCTCTGGTGGAATCTTATCAAATTATTTCGTTACATATATACTGTACTAATCCAACACTGACCAAGAAGGAGTGGATGTTATTTACAGATGGTCAGATAACACACCCCCTCGTAAAGGGTGACATCAAGTATCTGTGTATCTAAATGCTGGATGCAGGAGTGGACATCAGAAGAGATTGCCATCACTGGGTCTGTCCGTATTTCATGGAGTGTCATTTTTGCATTTTTTTTGTTTGTTTGTTCTTTTTTTTACTACTGAGAGGTCTGTGTCAAATTCAAACACATTTGCATTATGTACATCTGGTGACTGCACTGAAGTGACATGGCTGCATTGAAGAAACAAGGCACAATTTAAAAGACATAAAAAACAACATCGTGGAGAAGCAGGAAGCAGTTGGTGAAAACAGCAAACTCAACAGCAGCATTCGAAAAAAAAAGTGTCCGGAGCGACGCGCCGAAAAAACACGTTTGTCTTTAACACCGTTCCAAAAACCGTTCCAACTGGTACAAGGCTTTTTTTTTTTTTTTTAAATGATTCCCTCAGGTGAATAATAATAAAAAAAAAAAGTCATTCGTCAAAATCACAACACGTAGACACATCATCAGACCCGTTACTAGGACACACTTGCACCATTTTTGCAGCGGGTTATTCAGTCTTTATCAACTCTTCTCTGCTTCAGAAAACACCCAAGAGCCGTAGATTGTCAATGCAAACACATACTAAGATGCCAATGCATAGCAGCAGGTCAGACAGTCCGGCCTGCGCTTCTGTAAAAATAGTCGTTGTTGTGTTTGGAGGTGACAGAAGTGCACTTTAGATGATGTATTCAGGCACCATCACCTCTGATCTTTTCCTTCATCTAAAACAGGCCTGTGTCATTTGCATATCATTTCCATCTATTGTGTTCCCAATGTTGTAATTACACAAAATACAGTAAGTGTTGCTAACAGTACTTTCCTTAGCAACCTCGCTCATGTTCTTTGGCATGACAGGTGTTGCAAATGATTTATGGTTACAACAAAAGAAAAAAAAAAAAGGTTTGTGAGAATTTGTGTTTACAGAAGAATTATGTCAATAAAGCTCTTTAGATCATCCTGAAGCCCAAATGTACAATAAGCGATGACTCCCACGATATAAACAACAAAAAGGAAAGCACACGGCGATCATTGGTTCAGCAATCCCAGGTTTGCATATATGCTTTCCTCCACACCAGGTGTCACGGTGGACCTCCTGACCAGACTGGAAGCTGACTTTTAATGCATATTTGTCCTGCAGGACGACGTCAGTGCCAGACGTTCTGCTGAAGACCTCAACGACAACACCTGAAAGGAGTGTCTTTACATTCGACCCTGGTTCCACGTCCACAACCAAGAAACAGCGCCATCCAGTTTTTCCTACTACATTGCAGTGACAGTCTTTGGAGAGCGAGAGAGAAAAACAAAAACAAAAACAAAAACTTTTCCACCAAATGGACAAAGACATGCATAAAAGTACGGAGAATCTCGTTCCATGTCACATCACTGTTCATTTGTTCACTCTTCAGTTCCGCTCTGTCTCTCTTTGCACATAAATCCATCGTATAGAGTTTTACATCAATGTTATGACATTTATTCTTTTTTTTTAAATTTTTTTTTTAAGAAAATTGCATTTATATTCTACCCCCATTCTGATAGAAGCGAACGGCTCCTCCCTGGTTCACAGTAAAGGAAATTTGCAGCAGTGCTTCTCCACAGGTGGAGTGTTGCGCCTGATCGTCATTGGGGCGGAGAAGGAACTGCAGGTCACAGTTTAGCTTTCAAAAAAAGGACAGGAACATGTGGCAACAGCAGCAAGTAAGTGATTTTTGCAGAAAATGATTTTTTTTTTAAACTTTTCTTTTGGTTTTCCATCGTTGTTTGCATCCTGTGTCTGTTTCAATGTAGGTAAGTGCAGTGTCGCTGTTTTTGTTTTGGCATTCATGTGGTGCTGATTTGCATGTGGTGCTGTTTGCTGGCGTGTATGCATGTTCGTGTGTGTGTGTGTGTGTGTATTTTTGGTGTTGTTTTCATTAGTCTGCATAACATCAGGCCCTGCGCTCCACCGGCTGTTGCAGACACACTTCACTACCAGCTGATACAATAGGCAGTCTGTTGTCCATGTGGTAACTGATCAAGTGGCTCACGCTTTCGAACCGATGGTCTTTGGTGCGGACCTGGAGACAGAAGACCAAAACAGGACACAGCTGAGGTCAGATGTCCTGACACGATTAGAAAAACAATAAAGCAGGTCGCAGTGTGTGATGGTTAAGCATTAATGTGGGATTTTTATGTCTCCTGGACTTTGTAAATGTCTTTCACTTGGAATAAAAAAACCCAAAATATTTATAGATAGATTTTTGGGAGATAATTTCCTCCCTCTCTTCGCCTCCCACCCCGACTCACCACTCCTTCTGGGTCGACCAGTAGCAGGTGTTTGGCCTGACCGCCTTGCTGTCCCGTGAGGACATACTGTCCAGGCGTGGTCCCAGATTCTCGCACCAGGAAGTCACCATCTCGGGTCAGTAGCCTCTCTGCTTCCTTGCGGCTGAGGCTGCCGTGGAACCAGGCCTCGCACTGCAACTGTTGCACCAGAGGGGGCGTTGCCACCACTGAGACCCCCAGGGCATCATCGAAAGGCTCTGAAAAGGGGCAGGGCATCATCGAAAGGCTCTGAAAAGAAAAACAAAAAAACCCAGAAACATTTGTTTTGTTTGTTATTTGATGGAGTAAGAACATTATATATATCAGATCTAAACATAATTCTTCACATTATTGTGTTGAAGTGAGATTAACAGTTGATTGATTGGATTTAAGGAGGATTATCATCTGTATTTTTACTGCAGTCTCACTGTACGTTGGTGTTGAATAAACAGAGCAGCGTAAACAGCACCAAGCCGTACTCCAGTGAACCACAGTGTCTCCAACAGATGTGTGCCGTACGCTGAGAGTGGACTGTGCGTCTGACATGGGAAGCTTACACTGTTCAGCCAATCATGTTACATAAAATGCCTATTTAATGGACAAAGGCACTCTAATTCTCTTATCTGTCTCCAAGGCTGCCTTCTGTGGGCAGCTGCACTCATCATATGAAAGCTAAAGTACATACAGTACTGTTATGCACGTCTGCTGGGTCAATCATTAACCGTTGTTCTCGCTTCATTGTGAAAAAGAATCTCATTCCACTTGAATCGATTTTTCATTTTCACTGCAACACACGTTGTTATTTAACAGAAAGTCCCGTCTTAGTTTTTCTTAAAAACCGTTTGCACTACAGTAATTATTCTGTTTTCGTTACGTAGCAGCCTGTTTTACTCTCATTTATCAGACTATGACAAAAGACAATGGATTAGAATATTTAATCAGGATTCCTCGCATGGTCGTCCATTGTTAATTCACAATTAATTACAAATTAATCTCACATTTTAGTCTGTTGCAAATGCACCTTTTACAAAGGACTATTTTTCAACTGTTAGGTAGAAGTACTGCATGGAACCTGTAATAAAAAAAAAAAAACGTACTCATGTCAAACGCATCTCTGTGAGCATTTCCATTCGCTGCAACTGGGGGGCGGGGTTTGTCCACGTTGACATATGACGGATCGTCAAACAATTCCCGACCCCCTTCCTTGGCCCCCACTGAAGAAAAGAAAAAAACAACATAGAAAATCAGCAACACTGATCAGTCTGACTGAATATCTTATCTTATATCAGCTGTGAATATGTAATGTATCTTATCTTATATCAGCTGTGAATATTTAATGCTATAGAATAATATGACATATATATATTTACATATAATATATATAGACTGTGCTGTAGTGAGCTTTTGTCCAAAATAAAATTGTTTTGTTTTTTTACCACAGATTTACTTCTATGTCATGCGTGAATGATTCACTGAGTGACAGCTGGAGACGAACAGAAGGAGAAAGGAGACAGAAGGAGACAGAAGGAGAGAGGAGCAGAGAGGAGGACGGAGACAGATCTCACCTGGCAGAGGTGGCAGAGGCTGCTTGTGAATGTCATTATGTCCTGGTTGTCCATATGGCTGGAGAAACAGAGACACAAAAAAAAACTTTAGGACTGTGTCTATAAAGATGAACTGTGAATTTCAGCACGTGATAAAATTGTGATCTGATTAATATCACAAATTATTTTGTTGTTGTTAAGGATTCATTTTGACAGCATTAGTCAAACTATTACGTTCATATTAGACTTGTTGCATATCCTCTATCAGGTCAAACTACGGCCCGTGGGCCAGATACGGCCTCACAAACACCGGTGTAAGGTACTGTACACGGTAGACTGATGTCAATCCTTGTGTTTAATTCTTTACAATGCATTGACTGTAACTTCTGTTGATGCCACTAGATGGTGGCAGACATCAAATGTGCCAAATTATCTTTGAAAGTTTGGAAGAACCAGTCGCCAGTGAAAATCTTTAACCTAATTTTAGCTCGTGAACCAACAAGTTGTCCCTCATCTGTCTTATAGAAATCAAGTACATTTTTGTCATTTATTTTCCGGGTTCAAAGACAACTTTTGCAGTTTTAAAATCTTCTGGTTTTTAATGTGCACCCACCAGTGTTGCTCCCGGACGAGTCCTCATATCAACGAGTCCACCAGGGGGAGGTTGTTTTCCAGGGAAGTTATTATAATAGGGGACATCAGGAGGTGGCGCAATTTCGTCGTCTTCTTCCTCCCATGCAGAGCCATCAAACGGTGCCATTCTGAAGGAGGAGCAGACGTGACAGTAATGAAGGAGTCATGGGTGTCGGGAATCATGAGTCGGGGGATGCGTTCATTTACCTGTCATGGGGTGTGACCAGTTTGGGTGGGTTCTTTAGGTACTGTTTAAAACGCAGTTCAAAGGCCTGGCCAATAGTACTGATGACTTCCTGGGCCAATCCCTCTGAGCACTCCAGGATATGACACGCTGTAAAAAGAAGGGCCGCACACAACTGAGATCGAATGCTAAATATACACAAGATATAAATAACAAACAGCAAAGTACACACATCCTCAAAACATGTGGCAACAGGCACACGCATTGTGTCTTGGGATGTCATTCATATCATAGATTATTGCAATACTGTATTATTAGATTAAAATACTACAATATAAAATACAGCATATTACTGTATATAGTGTGCTTGTGTGCAAATGAGTGTGTTTGTTAGTGGAACGGTTGTTTTTTGTTTTTTTTTCCCACAGCCTAACACCACATTAGAATATTATTGACGGTCCAATTATACTAAAAGGTATTTGATAAAAGTATATTGGCTGGTGTTGCCTTAGGAATGAGTCATCCTGTTTCTGCCCACCTCTCTGGTTGACAGGGTCTTTGGCCACATATGCTACATACTCGGCTGTGTCCTACAGAAGAAAGAAGAAGAAGAAGAAGACGGTTAGAAGACAAGGAGGAAGGACAAAAAAACATAAACGATAAAAGAGAGAAAAACAGAAACAAAAAGAAAGAATCTGAGAAAGAGATCACAGAACACAGTGAGTTCAGAGTTGGAAAAAAAAAACCCCACAGCAAACCAGCAATGTGTGCGGTGAGTGGTGTTCAGACAAATAGACAGTGACACACAACAGGAAGGAAGGAAAGTAAGTCGGCTACAGAGGCTGAAGACAGAAAATGTCCAGAGTGAGATTTGAACTGAGTTTATGGGACTCACTGGATCTCCCCCAGAGGCGAAGGAGATGGACTGCATGTGATGATTGGCAATTATCTGTGGAGAGAGAGAAAGAGAGAGGGAGATAGAGGGGAGGGGTAACATGAGGTATGACTGAAGTGAGATGAATGCATATGGATGGAAATACAAATGTAAAATAATTACAGAGAAAAGTGCTTTTTCATCCATCGACTGCTGCAGAGATAACTAACCCCACAACGGGTGGAACACCTTTTTTGAAGATACACATACTGAAACCATAATATTATCAACAGTCCAATAATGCTCTCAGCCTAACACACACACACACACACACACACACAGTCTTGGCCTCAGGATGTGTAAATGGTGCCTGACGTTGGTAACAGTGTGTGTAATCATACTAAATTGTTCAATACTGGACTTTCTTCGCAGACTTTTTGGTACATTTGTGAAACCTTATATTTTTTCGAAATGTTCCGGGGTTTACCAAGGTAATGCATAAAATTTCAAGGAAAACATTTGTAACGGCAACCAACCGCCGCTCACGCGCGTCAATCGACTGCCTCCTACAATCAACTGACTTTCACACTCATGTTAACGGGAAAATAACAGTACATTAGCTATGGGGCAATGGAAGGTTCAATCCAATACTCCAACACAAAATATCAAAGATTGAAAAAAAAAAAAAAATCATTGCCAATTGGTCACTTGTTAATAAATCACACAAAAACTAATTTCTTTCCACTTTTTTTTTTTCGTTCCGTGGCTTCTGTGTACCGGCTGCACCACTAATGTATAAGTGTGTGTTTCATATGCCATGTGGTGTTGTGTATACACCACACAACTGTAAACATTTACCCCAAGGAGATATGCATGGTTTAGCAGCTATTAGGTCATGGAAGGTCTGGGAAGAGGTTCTCATGTTACCCAGTGGCGATGCAGAAATGAAGATAATGGTTTAAAGGGATTTGTGCAAGTGGAGAAGCTCTAAATTTATCCGGTATCCCCCTTTACATTTGGAAAAGGAGAAGAAAGGGCAAACAAGACATTCTGCTGCTGTAAAACAATAACACACTAATGTTTTAATACATGGCATTTTAAAACAGCTAAACTGTGTAAACCCTGGGTTGTGAAAAAGAACAAGTCAACTTCACCCCCTGGTAAAGTGCACTTTCAATCGCACTCAGGATGTAAAATAAAACACAGCCCTAGCAACAACACAGCACTGACAACGCTAAGCACCTCTGACTCACTGCCAAATTTCTGGCAGTCTGCGACAAATCTACCAAAAATAAAAAACCCAACAACAAAAAAAAACTCAGAAAACAGCAACAAGGGACTGAAGCCGTTTCTCTTCCAGTCTAACCTGTTTGCAGTCAGAGGCCAGCAGATTGAGGCTGCTGGTCGAGATGGTGAGGCTGATTGTCATGCCCGCGAACTGCAGGTTACTCTTCCCCAGGATTGATGTCAGACAGCGAGTGGAAGGCTGCGGAACACAGAGATGTAGTCAGTGAGTGATCAACAAACAAACAGCTCAAACACAAGGCTAGTAGTTTCTTTTTTACTTAAACAAGGCACTGCATTCCTCTAGACACTGTCTGTCTGAGCAGCGCTCGTCTGGAGATGCCTGAATGTGTGTGGGAAAGCAGAACAGCTGCAGTTGTGTAAGCGATCCTGTCCTGAAGGCCAACTGTGACCATCGGGGAGCAGACATGACCGTTCATATACCGAGTCTGCTGTGCCCAATTTTTTTTTCTTTCTGTTCTGTTAGCAACTCCTTCACATCTGTATAAGACAAACTCGTGAAGAGCTTCGGTGTGAGAATCACAGCGGCAACGACGGGATGTCAGCGTTCACATCCCACGCCGACCTCAGACGGGACAAATCGGGAGAAAGACGGGGAGTTTATTCTCGCAGGCCTTCTATAAAAGCACTTCGTCTGCTGTGCTGCACCGCCAGACGCACTTTGGTCAAAGTCAGCAGCGGCAGCTGGCTTCTTGTTTTAGCCACCTGTTTTATGAACTGGTTGGGCGGAGGTTTACAGTTTTACAGGGAGACTGTGCACAGACACACAGACTGACGGCTGTGTCTGCTGCTCTGTAGACACTGGCTCCACCAGAGAAACAACTCCACCTCTCCAGCCTCCCTTGTGAAAAGAGCCTGGAAAAGACAGACTAGAGAGCGATTGGTAATTACCTGCGAGTATCCCACTAACCACCAGAGTGTACAATTAGCCTAAATCAAGACATGTATGTGTGTAAGAGGGGGTTGGTACCGGGGGGGAGGGAGAGGGGGGTGACAGTGAGGGACAGGATAGCTGGCTGACCACAGAGTGGACAATCAAACTAAATCTAGCTCTTATCCAGAAAAGCCTTCCCACTGCCACCCACTTAAGCTGTATAAATAAATAATGTCCTGTGAGGGCGTGTGCTCGTCTGAATGGTCTGTACCTTTCTTCTGCGTTGGGCTCCTTTGGCTCCTGGTACCGCCTCACACACCACAGAGATCGCCTCCCTGAAACAATAAAAACGTGCAAGAGTTGGAGCAGCGTGTCATCAATGCCTCACACCTGGGTCTGGAGAGCTCGGGAGAAGACGTTGATTGAAAAAGATCTGTCTGCGGGTGAATGAATTCATCATCTCTGGAAACAATGCTCGTCTGCGCCACGGAGACAAACATCACTACGGAAACCAGACGAAAAACCACCAGGATTCCAGAACATTCTAATTTAAGGTCTGAGAAAAAAAAAAACTGCAGGCGTGCAGACACATGTGGATACACACATGCACACGCACAAACACACACACACTCTCCTGCTGTTTTGTTCTTCTCTGCTTGTGTCTCACTGTTCTTTCAGACAACAAGAACAAGAGAAACGGCAACTCAGTACTTAGGTGTGATGAGTCTGATTATTCTAACATTTGGCACACAAATAAAGAAATGTTTTTCTTTTAGGGAAGTTTGCCACCTGAATGATGTTTTTTTAATGTTTTCATTATTGCAGGATCACCCATTTAAAGAGAAGAGGAACATCTACAGTATGTCAACCACAAAACGTCTCTTCTCACCTTCAGTTTGTCTTTAGGTGAAGTCTGAATTTGAAGGTTTATTTTCCTTTTTTCTACTTCAACTGTTAGTAGCAGCTGTTTTTTTTTTGGTAGCCCTTCAGTTCTATTACCGTAGGTGGCTGGAATCCAAGGGAGCTAGAGCAACGTCAGCTTCATCAACTTCAAGGTGATTTCTACCTTCAGCTTCACCACCATATATTGGTGGAAACATTTCCTTTTCTTACCCAGGCAGTGTCAAGCATACATGACTGCTGATATCAAGTTAGCTTCTAGCTAGCCTGTATGGTTCAATTTAACTTTTAACAACTTTTGTCTTAGTCAACGCCCTTCTGCTCAGGGACTTAACAAATACATAGGACGTTAGGCAAGGCCAAACGACAATGACAAAACGTGTGTATGCATTTGTCAACTGCAAATTCCCTGATTTCATCGTGTGAACTTGAAGATGAAATGAGAGAGAGGCTCACTCTGATTGGCTCACCGCTGCGGTGTCTGTTGGCACGTACAGATATTCGGACGACTATGTATGTCTATGTATGACTGAAATAAATTGTAGAAATTATCAATTAAATAATCAATTGTAAAGATGGAAATCTTCAACACTGCATTTTAGTCCACAAAACGGAGTTTAACTTTAGCCAGATTTGTAAACATGTTTGAGCTAAAGTATAAAAAAAACAAAAAAAACTTTGTAAACATGTTTGAGCTAAAGTATATATATAAAAAAAATAAAAAAAACTCACCTGGTGACCTGAGTTCTGGTGTTGAAATCCAGTGCTCTCATTGATTGTAGAACTTCCACACAGCCCATGTACTGTGCAGAAAACAGGAAGGCAAAAAATACATCAGCCTCTGACTTTGTTTCATCGTAGGTGTAACACAATATGGACAAGTGAGGAAGAAGAAATCTGCTTCTACATTTTTAGAAATCGGTTGCTAAAAATGTAATGTGCGTGTGTGCTGTATATATGGGAATACTAGAGAAGGGGAAGTAGAAGTACATATTCCAGTTAAAGGTCAGAGAATGTGTCGTTCACGTACCCGAACAGTGTAGGAAACACCGCTGGTGCTGACCACATTGTCCAAGTGCAGCCAGCCACGAGTGGGCTTGTTGACGAAGGAGCCGTGGCGAGTCCACTCATCTCCTCCCAGCTGCCCTCCTTCTACTCTTGCCCTCCTGGACACCCCTCCTAGCCGGTTCATGTCCTGCAGAGGAGGTCGGGGAGGAGGAGAAGGAACAGTTAACAGGGGAACAGGGTGGTGGAGTGGAGGAGAAGAGCTGGAGCTGCTCCTGTCATCCCCTGAGGACTCAACAGGCGCCTGAAGCTGCTGTGGCCTGCTGGAGGCCTTGAGTCCTGGTAAGAGGGTGGCAGATACACCCAGGCGCAGGGACCCCATCCGGGGGAAAAAGGAGCAGAGCGTGGTGGGGCTGTTTTCTGCTTGCCGAGGAGAAGAGGGGGGCAAGATAGGAGTGAGCGATGAAGAGGAGAGAGAAGAAGGTAAACCAGGAGAGGGAGTAAGCGGGGTAACGGGACTGGATGGAGGGAACGATGATGGGTTGGAGTTTGTTTCATCGGTCGAGCTCAGAGATTCGCTCCGAAAGTGTGTGTACTTGGTTTTTGGAACAAGCTCCATCATGTATTTGCAGTGTCAGTTTTTAGATTCTCAGATGTCCACACGGGCTCTAGTGATCGTTTCAACGTCTCTCGGACTAAAAGTCTCTTCCAGACAGGATGTAAAGCCATCTGTCTATTTCGCTCAGTGTTGGAGCTGCTTCCATCTCACTGTTGCCCCGTCCGCCTGTCATTATCGTGCAGCCGAAACCAAACTGCTTCAAAAAAGGCCTTTTCCACGATGACAGCAGATTTAAAAAATGCGAAGAGGAAAAGCAACGTGTCCCGTCTGCGAGCAAATGCAGATGAAAAAAGTTTTGTAGTGCACCAGTGCAGATCATGTTGCCATCAAGTCACTTCTGATCTGCTTCGTTGTTTAGTGTGTTCCCAGGGAGTGATATGGTGATGTGGTCTTAGCTCTCCATGAACTGATCATCATGGTGTTTTTGCCAAATGTAAAACAACATTTTGTGACAAGTTCTTGGTGAGGGGGAAAATTATCCAGCTGTCCGTAGCACCATGGAGAATCAGCAATTCTCAGCAACCCCTCGCATGTCTTAAATGCATGTGAGGCAGTGTAAACCAAGCCTGTCCACAATGCCTGTATGCGAGTATCTGTGCGTGTGTGTGTTGCCACATTCACTTGCCTGCATGTGTGAAGCAGCTCCCCTTGGCAGCTCTATCCTGCTTGACACAGGCCCATAAAAATCCTATTAGTAGCCAATGAGAGAATCGCAAGGGGGCTGTGTGTGTGTGTGCACCAACACAGCGGCAACAGACACACACACAAAATACACCGCTCCAATTGGTTGTGAGCACCTGCAGAGCTCAGTGAAGCTCGGAGCTGGTGAAGAAGAGAGAGGATTCCTACTGATGTATGGCTATGTCTCCAGTGCGTCTTTCTCAGCACAGACTGTACTCTTCAAGGGCATCGTATGTTCATTCTCTTTTATTGATCTGCCCCTTCTTACTCCCTTTCCCGCTTCCTCCAAATGGTTTCGTGTCCTTTCTGAATGGCTCTCGCTCTATTCCTCCCTGCGTCTCCTTCCTCGTCTCTCTTTTTCCAGATCACTTCTGGCTCAGCTTCCTTGTCTGTCTCTGCACCCTTCCCTGCCTTCTCTCTGTCTCCTTTCCTCTCCTGGAAGTCCTCTCTCTTCTTCCAAACGATGTACTCCGCCAACCTCTGTCTCTCCAACGCCTCTGCCCTCTCCCGAGCCACCACTTCCTCTCTTCTCTTCCAGATGATCTCCTCCCTCCCCACTCCCCCTCCCTCGTGTGCTCTCCCGGTCTCCAGGCTGTCCTGTTTAACAGTCCCTCTGTCTAATGTATTAATGGTGACTCCTGTCTTTCAGCCTCTCTTAAGTGGAAAGGATGGCTAAAGGCTGGACATGTTGCACCGTTTAGACACCAGTAGAAAACAGAGAAAAAGAAGTTAAGAGTACTTAAGAGTGGGCTAGCACAGTTGCCCCCGTCCCTGACTGTAGTACCTGATATGGCTAAAAGAACTGAGGCTGCCCTGGTTCAAGAGCGTTCCCTTAAACTGGCCACCTTGAGTGGTTTTTTTTTTCTCCTCTTCAGAGCACCATTAGAGAGAAGTAGTTTCGGTGTTAAATGTTGTCTGTGACTGGTTCAGTGACACACACTGCAGTGACACGGTTCTAATGTGACACTGGGGGAATATAGGTCATTGGTCAACGATGACAGCGAGTTTGCTGTGACGATAACGAGACCCGATTGGTCTGGTTTAGACTCCCAACCCAGGGTTCCCTGAATGATGCTGAAGGATCGTTAGCACTGGACATGAGCTAGCTGCAAATGCTTGATTGAAAGTAAACTGTTGACATGCCAACAGCTCTTACCCTGTAACTTTATGACTGCCTACATCAAATGGCATTCCCAGATTTAAGTCAGTTACCTGAGAGACTCAGATACAGTACAGGGTTTTAAACCAGATATTTTACCCCTCGACTCAACTCTCTTCCGCACCTCGGACACAAACGGCAATCAGCAGTTTTGCTCTCAGTTCTATGTAGTACAAAAGCACAGGTACATCATGCTCTGCATAGTCCAACCCAAAAGGCAAACAACAGTCTGTTTACATTAACAGTCTCTTGCATCCACAACACCCACTAAAGAAACAGTCTGCAGCAGTTTGACCTCAGCAGTAGACACTCTACCTACAATCATGCAGCAAGTTAGCGTCTCGCTTTAACATCAGTGCTGTCCAGGCACTATTAGTATTTATAACCTGTTGGCATGGACTCTCTCAAAAGAGAGACACAGCCGGTCTAAAACCTCCTGAACGAGCTGTGGATTTGGCACCGATTGTACATAAAAACCGGGTGAAAATGTAACGTTTTCTAAAGACTATTGAGTCACAAGGATGTGTTCAGTGGTTAAGTGTACCAGCTTGCAGTGGGTGAGAGAATGAATGGCAAAGGAACAGTCGCCCACACCAGTCTAGCACCACAGAGGGACTGTCTAACAAACCCTGCTAGACATCCATCTGGTCTGGCTAAAAAGCACCATGGAAGTTCCAGTCACAAGAGTGTGTACTGCCAAACAGGCTGGGATTGTTTCCAGAAAACTGTACAGAAGTATGGCTGGAGACGTCAGTTAAGAGATATGCATGAGAATCAGTCAGTAACTCTCCTAACAAAACGTATTTTAAAAAGGTCAAAAAAAAAAAAAAAAAGGAAAAAAAAAGAAGGCCGGCACCGTAGACTCAGATTTAGTAGCAGGTGTGTTCAGGTGTGTCTTCCGTTGCCTGAGTACGTCTGAGCGCACGACACACAAAACACAGTGTAGGTCAGGCGACTGCAGAGGACACGGTCCTCTACATGTGAAGGAATCCTGAGTCACCCACACAGATAGACAGACAGAAAGATGAGGCGACTGTCACAGACACAGCACACCTAATGACCAGTGACTGGTGGCCTTGAGGCCAGGCAGCTGCGCCGAGTGATTTGAAGAAGTGAAGCTGGTACAAAACCAACAAATACGCAGCGTTTGCTGATTCTGTGGAATCAGCCCGACTGATCCAGCCTCTGCTGTAGACGCCGACAGTTAAGGTGAGATGAGGACGACCACGCTGAGCACAGTAGCACACAGACCTACATACATAATGGGGAGGGGGAGACAGGTGACCTGAAACAACCCTGATCCTCAGAGGCTGCTGAGCACCGCAAAGATAAGGAGCGTCTAACAAAGAAAAACAAACCTGTCTGAAAAGGGAAGTCTAAAACAAACTAGGTCTGGTGCCTACAACACACTAAATATACACTAGGAACAATTGGAACAGCACCGCTTCTAAAAAATAAGATAAGTATGAGAACTTTACATCTCCGTCTGTCTGCAGCTGCTGCACGTTGCTATAGCGACAGACATTAAAATAGATGCCTGTGGAGGACAGTCCTGACAACGGCAAATTTGTTAAGACGGAAAGATAACTGATTTGTCAAATCAAAGAGCAGCAATTATCGGACGCATCAAAAAGCCTCTTTTTTTTTCTCTCCACACAATAACAGGAAAAAACTACACAGCCTCCAGAAAAAATCAATAGGTTTCAGGAAATGATCAAAGTTTGACTAGCGTCGCGCCAGCCATAAAACCCAATCAATGTTGACATCCCATGTTGGCTGCATGCACAAGATTCCATTCAGAGAATGTAAATATCTTGTATCTCTGATGTTGGTCAGAGAAGAAAGAACTTCTCCGCTGACAGTGTGAACCAACACAACATTAACTTGTTAACTTTTAAAAGACACAAACTCAGGTATAGAAATGATGCATAAAAAACGTCCTCATTACTCTGCGCAGCAGATAACAAAGACCATGCAGAGGAAATGTTACAAAGAGTCCGTATTTACACTGAAGAAAAAAAGTGTCAGAGTCTGTGTTCTGTATGAGTCAACGCTCCTAAATATCTCACAAAGTTCCTTTTTTTTTTTTTAATAAACACTGAAAACCAACACACTTCTTGTTTTTTGGTTTAAATAGTATTTAGCTGAAATTCCACAGCATTTCACCTGAAACTGAATTCAAAATTTCACATAAGAAACACGTTAATGTTTAAACAGCCACAGACTGTCCGGTCTTTCATCCCTCCTCCTCTCGTCTTTCTGGCTCTCCGTTCATCCACTCCCTTAAAAACGTGCTTCTCCTCTTCCGCTCGATTAATTCACAAAGTCACTGCCGGCAGCTCCTCTTCATCTCACAAAGTTCCCGTTTGACTTCCTCCTCTTCTCCTCCTCCTCTTCCCTTCCCTTCTCAATATTGTTCTCTCTTCTGCCTTCACTCTTTGAGCAGATGGTGAACTGTCAGTGCTGCCAGGATGGACAATGGCACTCCTTCATTGTGCTCCTCTTCTCCCCTCACGTCTGTCTCTCATTCCCACTTTCCTTCCACTTCTGTCTGTTAGAGGAACAAGCACGCCGTCTCTCCTCCCCTCCTCCTAGTCTGGGTGGGTGATGCTGGCTTCCATGCTCTCTCTTTCAGTCTCTATCTCTCTCCCCCACTCATACATACACAAAAACACACACACACACACACAACACACTCAGCTGCTGTCTCTGCCCTCCCCAACTCTCTCTTTTCTCCCATCCTACCTCCTTCCTGTTTCCTCCCCTTCCCCCCATCTGCTCTCTGCAGCATCAGTCATTTAGCACTGTTCATGTGTATATGCACAAAACGATGCTATGCTCCTGCACATTAATGCAGACACTTGAAAGGGAAACGGGAGATGAGGGGGAGGCAAACGAGGGCAGGGATGGAAAAGCGTGTGCACGTGTGCATGTGTGCACTTGTGGGGAGTAGAGCTTGTCCATGTTGCCTATTCAACGCTCCTCCCTTGTTCATGTTTGGTAACCTGAGAGACGGAGTGAAAGGGGAGAAAAAGGAAAGCTGGAGGATGGAGACAGAAAGGGGAAGCGAGTTCATCTCCCCTCTCCCCCCCCCCCCGTGTGCTGTAAAGAGCGTAACATGAGGTCACTGTAATATATCTCAATGATAAGTTGAAAAAAAAAAAAATCACAAATGGGAATAACGCTGACATTCAGTCAAAAATATACCTACCTACGTTAGTCCAGGTCTAAGATCAGGTTAATGTGAGCAAACATTTAACAAAGTGGATGATTTTGTTAGTGTGGCAGCAGACAGTGCAGGTCTCAGAGTCGGGTCAAGACGCTCGGGTTTATCTGGTGTGAAGGCAGCAGTGCAGAAAGCAGAGGAAACCACCCATAGAGCATCAGTGGAACAATCACAGTGGAGTGCAGGGAGCCAGGAGTCCTCACATGACTCCCCAAACAAAAGTAGCTGCAGTACTACATCTGGCCACTACACAATCCAGGAGTGCACTCGGGGACATGGAGTTTTAGTGTCATGTAAGGTAAAACTTGTCCCTCACTGGTGAGGACAGCTTCCTCCACCAAGAGTCTGCACCATACCTCCAACCAATGAACACAAGACACACAATGGCTTTGTGGCAGGCATAAAGGCAATTTTAAAACATGTTACAATTTAAGAACTGATTTTTTTTTTTACTTGATGGCAATACAGTATCACACTGAACAGCAGTCTAACTCTATCTCACTGCCCTGAAAATAATTCTCTGGTTGTTAAAATTTTCAACACAATAGAGAGAAAAAAAACCCACTGCAGACAATGATTCATTGTACGCATTAGTAAGAGAGGATATTGCACCACTACTGGATAAGGTAACACTGATTTAAAAAAAAAATGCAATTGGCTGGTTTAACCTAATAAACCACTCACAAAAATAAGTGTAATTAAATCATCATCAAAACATTATTTTCAATAACCATAAAATATTGAATTAAAAGTAAATCCTCAAGTTAAACCTCATTGTAATAATGACTGTAAAGTGTTTTTACAGGGTAACTAAAATATTTTTACTTTTTTCTTGTAATTATTATTGTACCACATGAACACACAGTGCAGGTCAGCAGCAGATTGATGTGGTTGAGCAGTAACTTAAACACAATTGGAACGAATGCGTCTAGACTCCACTAAATCAGGTTACATTGTAACATTACGTGCCGGCCCTTTAGTCAGTGTGCCATGGTGTGTTCTTCATTGCTTGGTTGTATCATGTGAATGCCTTACCATATATTCCATCGGTCAACACGGGCTGCCTGTAAGCCTGTATCCCTAAAAACACCAAAGTGCACATCAACACACGATTAACATGTCACACAAACCTCAAGGTAAGCCAATCACAGCGCACTCCTATGATGGCAGTTCAGCCGCTTGACCCCCAACATACTTTGCTCCGACAATTAGTCGTGACAACGTACAAAAAAAAAAACAACAAAAAACAAAAAAGAAGCCTGATATAAAGACGGCACATTGACCCAGAACACAGACATGGAACGGAGACAGTTACAAAGCGAAAAAACAAAGTGGAAGTGAGAGAAAGTGGGAGAAGAAACAAAAGTGTTAAGAGGACGACAACAATCCAGTGTGCATGTTGAAACGCACTGTGGAATGAGAGGAATCAACAGCACGGAGCGCGTGTGTAGGATGTTTGTGTCTCGGCTTGTCCAACAAGAGACGGCAAGTGTATGTTTTGTATGGGTTGCGAACGGAACAAAACCCCCGACAAGTCGGTATTTATGAGACGACACAGTCAGAGGTGCAAACACGGCAGGTCATGTTGTCTGTCTAAGTGTGTGTATGTGTGTGTCTGACCTTTTCTCTTTAGGAATACTCTCCCCAGAAAATGTCAAACATCATGCTTTATGATTAAGACAAAAAGAGTGTGAGTCTTGAGGCCAAAACCTCTGGGTTTCAGGGAGATGTAAAAATCCACAAATATGTGCAGAAAGTAAAAAGATCAGTTTTGCTCATTTAAACCTTTAAAAAAAATCAGAGGTGGGAATGAAGATTTGCCCAGCATTTAGCAGGAGGCCTTTCTGATAGTTTAATAGCTCACCGTGCACACAGCAAACATGTGAGCTGGCTATTTTGGGTTGTACGCCCCCTTCTGCACCCCCACCTCTCCTAACCAACCCTTCAAACCACACACTCCCATCTCTATCTCCTTCCATTATTCCCTTCCTCCAGCCAAGTACTGCCTCTCTCTACAAACAACTAATCTTCTCCATCTTTTTATTCAGGAGCATGTTCCACATTTTATTTAACATGTTTGGTTTTCTTTTCCTCAGGCTTTTCTTTTTTCCCATTTTTTGTTCCCGATGTTGTTAAAGGTTAGTTTGCTGTTCACGGTTCAGGACTTCCTCATCATCATGTACAGCCTGGTTCACCACGACTAAATTATTCAGAACTGTGGCAGACGTATAAAATAATAGTCTGACATAACATCTACTAAGGTTTATGTCAGGGGTCATCAACTACACTTGTGAAGTTTATTTTGGAATCCAGTTACAGGCTGAATGGGATGGTTCTGTGGGCCAAACTGGTTTAACGCATCAGCTATCTCTGACGAAGTCTGTTTCATTTTGGTAATGGAACCAACACGACCAATTTCTTCAGCATGTGCAGTCTGTGATAAACAAAATGATTGAACTGAGACAAGATTTTTAAAAGGTTCATGAACCATCATGGTGTCTCATTAACTGCAGTGTCAGTATTTTCAAAACTAAACCAACTTCAATAGGTAAGTGCTGAGAATTAACATTCTTAATTAAATTACTCCAAAACAGTAATAGCTGATCACCTCAGTTTTAGATTATTAAAGTCAACATATTATTTTATTATCAAATTGGTCAATTGTAGACCAAGGCTTTAAAGATAATATCTTTATATTATTTTTACATCTTTAAAACTTTTAGTCTGCCTCAGGCTTCACATAGTAAGTAAAGAAATATTCACGTCACAGGGTCAACAAATCACACAGATCAGATGAGATGAGCTGCTTTCCTTAATCTCATTTTACTGCCTGGCAATAATTGACAAGACATAGATTACAGCGGTAATATATAGGCCATGACACCGAGGATATAAATGTCAAAGTCGAGCTACAGTCATGGCCCAATCCAAACAACCAGTAGAAACAGCACTGTTTCTACTGGGTGTATACTGGTATGACTTTAGTTTTGTTTTTGTAACACCAAAGCAACAAGTACTTTCAATTCATACGACTTAAGCTGTGGTTTACGTGGGCTACTAAGAACTGAGCATGTTGCACTTGACTATACAACCCAGGAGGAAAGAGAGCAGCGCCCAGGTCCCATTGTGTAGACGTTGAGACGGACATGACTGCATATTTAGACCTCAGTGTTTCTAGAGACACACACACAGCAGCACACAATGCTCAGAACTGGCCTCAAACAAGCAGACAGACATTTTGTTTCGTGAGTCTGCCATGTATTCTGCTCTTCAAGTCTTCATATATATATATATACATTTCTTATATTGATCCAATAGTATTAATAAATAGGAAGGTGTCCTTTAGTACTCAAGGTACTATTTTACCGTTCAAATGTAATTAAACACCAAGCTATTCTAATGGTATTGGCTAACCTAATATTTTTTGCAAGTTACTACCAAATCCAGCAGAGAACATTTTGGCCTTTTTCTGGGATTTAATCCTAAAACTTTGTCCTACAATGAACTCCATTTCTTATTTGCAGTCTATGTTTTCACATTTGATCTCCATTTCTTATTTGCAGTCTATGTTTCACATTTGACATCCACACGGAAACAAAATAACAAAATAACCCCTATGTCTTCCTGTTGATTTGTCAACTGTTTGGATGTCTCTGAAGCCGCTCGGTATCACTCTGCAATATATATTTTGAGTATAAGCACAAGGTTTATACTGTATCTTATTTGAGATAAGACACTTCTCAACTTACGTCCGCAGAGACTGTTCATTTGTACACACCTGTCAAAGTGCCATAACATTCAAGTGTCACTCTAAGCTGTCAGTCAGTTCTGATCTGATACTGATATCAGTCGAGCAGAACTGGACAGATCCAATTTTAATCAACTGGAATTTGGACTGTGCCAGTGCTGTGATGGCGTGACAGTGATGCTTTGCATTTTTTGTCACAACTGTGTGTGGACATAGACACACATATACAGCATGTATGTGTGTGCATTTGTCCAGTTGGTCCATCTCTTGAACCATGTTAAAATGGACTATTTTTGTGCTCAGTCAGGAGCTTTTGTCCTCTCTAATTCCTTAAATATATTATTATTCATAATTACAAACCACTCTGTCAGATCTGCTCTTTCTGCATCTATGTGTGTGTCTGTGTAAATATATAAATATATATGTAAAGGCTGTCAAAATTAATTTGTTAATGAATTTGTAAACCTTTATATCCAATAATTACACCAACCATCCACTTATCGTTGCTCTTATACACAGGTAATGAACACATTGTCATTTGCACACACTGCAAGAAAAGTGTTCGAATCAAAGGCTTCATGAAAGCAACTCTTCACACGTTCTTCAAACCAAAGTTAAGCTCCACAGCACTGACTAAGTCCCACATAAAAGGTGAGAAATACATCCTGCTGTTTATCATCTTCGTTTTTTTTAAATGAATAAAAAATATATAAGAATTACACGTTTCACAAACAACTTATGATCAAAACATACAACATTACCACTGCACAAATATTGTGTTTTCACATGTACAACGCCTGTGGCACAACTATTAAAAGATGGAACATTAATGGTGCTGATACAAGCAGAAATGTTTCCCTGATTTCCGGGGGCTGTTCCTTACCTGAACTGAAGAGTCTGAGGTCAGAGGATGTTAGTTTAAGTAAAGAAAAGTAAACTGTGATTGGTGACCTAGTTTGCAACGGCTGGCCAACTGAATTAGGCCACACAAATAAACTTCATTCAAAATGGGCCGAAAAAGTGTGGCAAAAACACTGACTAAAATGCATCTTTCTCAGAATGCTACAAATGAGGATGTTCAAAACATTATGAGAATGTTTACATTTATTATAATAATTAAATTGTTCGTATTAAAGTTGTTCACGTAAGACTTTTCTGTTTAATCGTGACTGTTAACGTTTATATTTCTACAATCCTAATGATAAACTACACTCATTCTGGGGTAAGAATGGTCATTAAATATGAAGCTGTCAACTAAAACGTAAGTTTATAACTTTATTTTATGACTGACGTTCTCGTTTGGCCGTTTTGTCACTGATCACAGATTGAGAAAAGAACATCTCAAACGCTGATCGACTGGCAGTGACTTAGAACTCGTCGAATCCCGTGGAAAGTTCGAGAAAGAACTTTAAATGTGGGACTTATTCAACGCTTTGTGTTTTTATGATCAACTATTTACAGTCAGTCTTTGACGACTGTCCACGTAGAACTAACAAACCTGGGATATAATATGAACGTTGGTAGGATTGGCGCCACTGCATGTTAACGTTAAATATGTTTTAACTAAATGCTGTTACTGCGATTTATTGACGTACAGCACGTTTCCAACCATGCCCCCCCAAAAAAGTGTGGTCAACTTTGACGAACTTAACAGCTCTCTTCCTAACTTTCCCTCGTGTCCCTCCTGCCCACGGAGCGGTTACCGCAAAAAAGTTCTCGTCACTTTCATCTAACGAGAACTGGAGACGTCGTTGTTTTTCCAGCCTTTGATATCAGTTTCAAACTTTTGACAACTCCGTCGCTTTGAGGCTAAACTTCTTCTTCTTCTTTACTCTCCCTTTCCTCTCCTTCCTCCTCCTCCTCCCCTTCCCTCCCCCCTCAGCGGTCACGACAGAAGCCACTTCCGCGAACAAATGGTAACGTCATCTGGCCGTGGATACTGCGTGTGCGTGTGTGTGAGTGGGTGGCTTGTTTGGCCCTGTTTTGCACCTGGTCCATTCGATGTAAATTGCGCAAAAGTGGATGTCCCAGAACTACCGCGTGCGCGTACACACGCGCGCGTGCACACACATACACAACAGACAACCTTTTTTTTAATATTTTTTGACTATACTTCACATAAAAATAGTACATTTCCTACTGCATCCCGTTTGCCCTAATGCTGTAAGTACAATTCTAATCCTCACCCCAGCTCTAATCTGACCCTAATTCTAATCCTATGAACGGGTCTCTATTTAGGCCATAACCAAAAAATAAATAAATAAAATAAAATATATATATCAACAACAAACCTGCACTTTAATAAGAGCCTTGATTTAGCCAGGCCGTGATCCTTTTATAGAGTAAAAAAAAACCCACAGTGTACATGTCACAGGAGGACACGGTGTTTCAGACAGAGACCTGGTTGTACGTATGTTTGGTGACACTGACTCACTGACACACTGTCACAGTTTACTGGAACATGTAAAAAAAAACAAACATGGGTTGTCACGTAAGCCGTGACACCTGTGCTGTCACACTGAAAAGTACAGGAGTAGCAGACTCTCCATTTCATGGTCAATGAAAGTATATTCCATTACATTTCACTGTTAAAGGCAAAATTATGAATCCAGCTGGGAACAGGTAAATAAGTTTGTAGTATTTGCCCAATGCTTTGAACACTGTGCCACAACCTTTCTGAACAGATTAGTTTAATAAGTCGCCACAACCTTTCTGAACAGATTAGTTTGTTTTAAAGTGTTATTTTTGTCACATTAAGAAACTCACAAATCCCCCCAAAACAAAATCACGCCACCAGTAATGCTCTAAACCTTTAATCAGAAATACGAAAAATTACATTTAGTTTGGGCTTACTGATTTTAATTTATTAAAATGATTGATGCTCACAAAGCAGGTACATATTTTAAAAAAGAGATACAATCAAAGTGTTAACTAGAAAAATTAGTCAAAGCAGAACAAAGGATTTAAAAAAACTTTAAAAATGTATAAATAAAAAATTAAAAAAAGGTTAAATATTGCGTATAAGGTTGGAGAGTTGTGGTTACGTAACGTTTGTATTTTTGAGGGAAATAATCACGTCACAGACGTGCACACACAGCTGTGGTAGTGGATGATTTTTTTTTTCCTATCTCACTTCTCGTTCAGTTGTATATATTTTTAGAACACACGTTCCATTGTAAACATGAAAACACACGCCACCCACAGGTGAGGGGATTAAATGTCTAGGCACGAAAAATACGTACTTTGCTCCTCCGTCCAGTAGGGGCAGACCTTTTTTTTATTTGTCTGCCGTTTATATAGAGGAGGAACTCGCCATCTGTAATCGCAGCACAATATATTGGGGTAATAGCACTGCGTATAAAAACACTTCAGACTGACACATATGTGCAGCACACGCCGCTAATATTTTACGTGTTTATTAATGCACAGCATTAATACGCAGCATACAGAGCCACTGAACAACTTCCGTGACTGTGGGAACACGTGATCCGCCTCGTAATTCTCATTGGCTATTGTAAATTCCCAGGGAGCGTATCTCGCTTGTGATTGGACAATTACAGACTCCTTCTGAGACTTACGTGATACGTAGGGACGGTCAGTGGGTCAGAAGTGCTCTTCGTCTCTGACGAGTTCTGCTGTCAGGTAATACATGACTCGTCTTCACGGAATATTTTGATACGGAAATAAAGCGAAAGTGTATATAAAATACTTTGTGTGCGTACTGGGAAAGGTAGTTCGCTGCTGGCTCTTCCGTATCTCGAAACCTGACAACATGTGCAACGAGCGATAACTTGTACTTTAATGTCAAATTTTAAATGTGTATTTTAACTTAAAGTCGTGTCCTGCTATTGTACAGTCTTACTGAACACTGCAGGTTCCTTTGGCACTGATTTTAAATAAAATGTTTTTAACCTCTTTTCGACGGTGACCCATATACACTAATAGTACATTTTATTTCGTCTGTTCTATTGTTGTTATAACATTGGTAATTCAAACTGATGATTATGATAATAATATTGATATAAGCGTAAACTGTATTAGAAATGCTGACTTTAATACCGAGTAAACTAGTTTAATTCGTTTGAATGGATATTTAAATTATATATATATATTCTTCTAAATTAAATTGTAATTGCACAGATGGCATACTCTATAGTATAGTCTGACAAAATATTAACAAAATATTTCTTTTAATCTACATTTTCCCCCCTTGTTTTACCCAGGCACATCCTGACTAAAACATCCCAGAGAAGAGGAACTGAGATTATTTTTTAAACACATTGGAAGGATGTGGCTTCTTCATGTTGATGTGAGAATGAAAGTATCTATATTTTTTATTAATGTGGTTTTAGTGTCAATAGTGCTTTCAAAACATGTAAATAAACATCCGAGGACAGAGGAAACGACCAGAAAATACAAGGTTTGAATTAAATTCCTCTCGTGGACTAAGTCATTTTGTCTCCCAGCTTTGAACTTCCCAGGTTGAGCCGAGCAGCGGTGCGTGTAAAGAGACTGTCAGCTCACCTCAGCAGAGCCGCGATGACCACAAACCACCACAACTCCAGTCCTCCCTCTGCAGCCAGTGGGGACGTCAGCACTGCAGCCATTCTGATAATCGGTGATGAAATACTCAAGGTGATTGATGGTGGACTTTGAAAAATCAACTTTGTAAATCTAACTGGATGAAATACTCAAGGTGATTGATGGTGAAAATCAACTTTGTAAATCAAACTGTGTGCATGTTACCATGTATAGAATTACTGGTTTAAATGTCCTGACCTCACAGCTGAGTTCACCCTAATGTCACATCTGCTGGAGTTGAACAGTTCAGTCCACTGCTCGGCTTTAACATGACTACGACAGACATTATTCATCGACCTCGATGAGCACTTGATTCAACTGTGAAGCTTTTTGCAGCTGCAGGTGACAATGACATCCTGCAGGGAGGGGGTGCAGTTTCACCTCGACACCCACTCTCTTCTGCAACCTGTGACACTATTACAGGAATAAAGCACATTTTTTACCATATAGTTAATACATGCCCTGTAATGCAAATAAAAAAAATTATTTAGAATATTCATACATACAACTTATTTTTGTTTGTTTTTGTTTCTTCTATAGGCCTATATTTTGCATATGTGAGAATCAAAACATCTACACATACTTAAGCATATGTGAGAATCAAAACATCTACACTTACTTAAGTACGGTATACTTCTGTGGCTAAGTGGCTTAAAAAAAAGGGTCCAGAAGGTTTCAGGTTCGGTGCCAAGTTACCACTGAGGTGCTCTGATCATGGCACCGTCCCCACACACTGCTCCCCGGGCGCTTAAAGCTCCTCACTGTTCACTTTGGTGATGGGTTAAAAGCAGAGGTCACATTTTTGTTGTGTGCTGTGTTACAATCACAAATAATTCACTTTCATTTAAGTGGTACTAAATGAGTCATGACGTACGATTCACCTTCATGTTTCCATCATTTTGTCTCCCAGCTTTGAACTTCCCAGGTTGAGCCGAGCAGCGGTGCGTGTAAAGAGACTGTCAGCTCACCTCAGCAGAGCCGCGATGACCACAAACCACCACAACTCCAGTCCTCCCTCTGCAGCCAGTGGGGACGTCAGCACTGCAGCCATTCTGATAATCGGTGATGAAATACTCAAGGTGATTGATGGTGAAAATCAACTTTGTAAATCAAACTGTGTGCATGTTACCATGTATAGAATTACTGGTTTAAATGTCCTGACCTCACAGCTGAGTTCACCCTAATGTCACATCTGCTGGAGTTGAACAGTTCAGTCCACTGCTCGGCTTTAACATGACTACGACAGACATTATTCATCGACCTCGATGAGCACTTGATTCAACTGTGAAGCTTTTTGCAGCTGCAGGTGACAATGACATCCTGCAGGGAGGGGGTGCAGTTTCACCTCGACACCCACTCTCTTCTGCAACCTGTGACACTATTACAGGAATAAAGCACATTTTTTACCATATAGTTAATACATGCCCTGTAATGCAAATAAAAAAAATTATTTAGAATATTCATACATACAACTTATTTTTGTTTGTTTTTGTTTCTTCTATAGGCCTATATTTTGCATATGTGAGAATCAAAACATCTACACTTACTTAAGTACGGTATACTTCTGTGGCTAAGTGGCTTAAAAAAAAGGGTCCAGAAGGTTTCAGGTTCGGTGCCAAGTTACCACTGAGGTGCTCTGATCATGGCACCGTCCCCACACACTGCTCCCCGGGCGCTTAAAGCTCCTCACTGTTCACTTTGGTGATGGGTTAAAAGCAGAGGTCACATTTTTGTTGTGTGCTGTGTTACAATCACAAATAATTCACTTTCATTTAAGTGGTACTAAATGAGTCATGACGTACGATTCACCTTCATGTTTCCAGGGCCACACCTCTGACACCAACAGTGGATTTCTGACTCGATCGCTGAGGAAACTCGGAGTGTCCGTGCAGAGGATTACGGTCATACCAGACATCCCGGAGGTCATCGCCAATGAGGTGGCGCTGCTTTCCCCTCAGTACACGCATCTCATCACCTCAGGAGGCATCGGCCCCACCCACGACGATGTCACCTTTGAAAGCATCGCCATGGCGTTCCAGGAGGAGTTAGTAGTCCACCCTGAGCTGGAACAGCTGGTCAAACAGTTCTTCGGGACAGTGGACAAAGACAGTGCTGTGATGAAGCTGGCCACGGTGCCGTGCTCTGCCAAACTAAACTACGGAACTGATCCACAGACGGGGAAAGGACTCCGCTACCCACTGGTGAGTGCATGGACGATGGCGCAGCGATTAATTGTGAATTTCCACCGCTGTCGGACAAATGAAGGACGCCTTATCTTATTATCATTAGCTCTCACTTTAATGGATGAAGTGTAGCTGCCAAATGCAGTGGTTCATGTCATTCAAGTGAAAGGAAAGTAAATGAGATTAAATGAGGTTCACGGCAGGATTGATCAGGCCTGTGCAGCTACATTTTTAACAACACCTCCAGTTAATTTAAACCCCATGATGTTCCATGAAGTTTCTAGTCTCTAAGAAACATTGTTAAATTCTGGGTCTGAGTCAAGGTTAAGGACAAATATATATTTGCCACAACCAATTTTGGATCCTGTTGGTTTTGAAATTCGATAATTTAAATCCTCCATGTCGTGTCACAGTGAACAACAGTCAATGAATCATTGGTGTTCTTTACAACCTTCAGCAAAAGTTTTGTAATCGTTGACGTCAGTAAGTAGTGAATGTAACTAGAAAGTGATGATAGAGTTCATGGACTAATGTAACGTCAGTCTGTGTTTATGCCAGTGTTAATATTGGCAGCTAATTTTGATTAGTCATCCTATCAATTTAGTCAATAGAACTGTTTTAATTTTAGTTCAACGTGGCACCTGTCCGTTGTTCACAGGTCAGCGTACGGAATGTGTTTGTATTTCCCGGGATCCCTTCTCTAATGGAGAAGGCCTTCAGGGGGCTGGAGCATCTCTTCACTTCATCTGCAATCACTTTTCACACCAGGGAGGTAAACGTCCGGAACTAGACTGTGACTATTTGATGTCAAAACATTGTTATCACAAGGACTCATCACAGATTGTTCTCCTAGGTGTTTGTGGATGCAGATGAAACCGAGATTGCTCCGGTGTTGACCAAACTGCAGACCGGTTGGGGGAAGAAGGTGGCGTTGGGTTCCTACCCTGACTGGATGAGCAACTACCACAGAGTCAGGCTGGTCCTGGACTCGGACAGCTTCGAGGAGGTGGACAAAGCCCGGGCACAGCTGCTTGATGAACTGCCCAAAGGAAGTGTGGTGCCCTTAGTCACTGACTCGGTGTCCATCGCCCCGGCCGAGGTTTACGCACTGGCGGGTAACGGTGAGAGGAAGACAGGCTGCAGAGAGCGATGGGAGAGAATCATTAAACTGTGTCATTGTAATACAAAGTGAATATCAGAGGGAACTTCTACTTTTTACTGGGCCACGGAGACCAATGAAAGCATATGGATCAAAGTAATTACAGCTTGCTATAAAAGTGTAGATTGTAAAAAAGAATAAAACATTGCATCATAACTAAAGGTGCGAAATGAGAAATCAGGGATCTGTAAAATCATTCATATCTTTTTTTTTCGCCCTTTCGTCCTACTGTTGATTTTATTTCCCACAGGAACACCGCTGGGTGAAAAAGTTAAGTCTGCTCTGGAAACAATAGAGACTGCGTTGGATCAGTACTCCGCAGAGGAAGTCTGTGTCGGCTTCAACGGGGGCAAGGACTGCACGGCTCTGCTCCACCTCTACACTGCTGCGCTGAGGAGGTCAGAGAAGAGAGAGAATCATTCTATATGTTCAGTGATTATTTTGAACCACAGTTGGGATTTAGTCCAAGTCTTGACCAACTTATACACACATACGGATTTAGTCCAAGTCTTGACCAACTTAGTCCGAGTCCCAATTTAGTCGATAGATATGTTTACAGTTCAGTTGACAAAATCAAAATAATTTGTCAGCTAAATATTATTTAGAGTAAAAAAAAAAATACACACATACATTATATACATACATATATGTATATATGTAAATATATATATACTCGCATGTTTTACATATACATATATACATGTGTTTATGTACATACAGTATATATATTTACATATATCTATATATGTAAATATATATACACACATACTCATATGTTTACATATACATGTATGTATATATATATACATACAAAAAATGATACAAAAAATGTAATACATATAAATACATGGGGAATTGTGGAGGCCAACTGTACTAAGAAGTCTAGACATATTTTCCTTTATTGACCTGTAGAGGACAGACAAGGAGACACACTGATAAAGAGAACAGACATTAATCTAATCAATGCCACTCATTGGTTTTAATGCAGTTTTCTTTCTTTTTACCATTCTTAGGCGGCATCCTGATGGTAAAGACAAGGTGAAAGCTCTGTATATCCGGATTGTGTCTCCCTTCCCAGAAATGGAGCGATTCCTCCAGGACACGATAAAAAGGTAGGGTAGTAAAATAATTAAAATCAAATTAAAATCCTGTTTGTCAAGTTGTATTATGTTTCGCTTGCCGGAGTTAATTATTATTTTTTTTTAAAGTTGCTCAGTAGCTCATTGCTCTGTCACCTATAGATACGACCTGGACCTGTTCTCTGTGGAGGGCAGTATTCGGCAGGCACTCATTGAGGTTCAGGACAGGAGACCGGAGCTGAAGGCGGTCCTAATGGGGACCAGGAAAACAGACCCCTACTCACACACACTCACGTCCATGTGTCCCACCGACCCTGGCTGGCCAGACTACATGCGAGTCAACCCTTTGTTGGTGAGATTTGGTTGTAAATTCGTTAACTTATAATTTCTGTCAAAGACTTACATTTTCAGAGACGAAAACTACAGTAAACAACACCCGATGGGAAGTTATGTGGGGCTGAAATGAGGATGAAGAAATTTATTGATGCACTAGTTAACTAATAAAAATGAGATGGAAAAATGTGCCCAGAAATGTATACACAAAATCACTACAGAATGATATATTTAGAAGAAAAAAAAATGAGGAAGCTGAGTCCTTATATCTTCCAGCCCCTACATATTGGTTGGTGATTATTGTAGGAGAAGGCTCTAAATTCATCTGCAGAGTAGTAACAGAATTATAGGAAGGGCATATTGATGAATCTCAGATTAATGTTTGTTGTTTGGTTCAGTACAGATTTGTGCGTGCACATTCACATCAGCATGTTTTTTGTTTTGTTTTTTTGCATTTTTTTCTGGGAATGGAATCAATGCCAGCTGTAAACAAAAATCGAATTTGACGCCTTCTTACACTCCACAGGACTGGACCTATCACGACATCTGGTCATTCCTGAGAACGCTGTACGTGCCCTACTGTATTCTCTATGACAAAGGGTGAGCCTCATCTTGGATACACACTTCCTTTTGGACCTTTTTTTTTTTCTTCTTGTATTTGGGACTGAACGGCATCACAGCTGCCGTCTACCATTATTCCAGGTCTTAAATCTCCTTGTCCACCTGCAGGTACACTTCACTGGGCAGCATGGACAACACCTGTCGAAACACGTCCCTCCAGATAGTCGACAGCAGAGGGGTGAAACGATACAAGCCGGCCTACCTCCTGGAGAATGAAGAGGACGAGCGAAACTCTCGTGCCTGATTTAGCCACTTTTCAGATCGCAACTTGCACATGGACTATTTTTACAACTGCGGTAATCCAGTTTGTGTGTTATTTGTGGATACGTCATGATTTATATTTGTGTTGTGCAGTCTGAACTAGCACCTAGAGAGTTCTTCAGGACACTACATGGAAGTCTGTTTCATTTTGACAATCCATTCTGGTTCTTAGATGTTTTAACATCCGTCCTAAATCATGTGACAACAAACCAGTGAATAAATCAAGATTATTTTATGCCTAGAATTATTTCATTTGTCATGAAAGTGTCTCTTTTTTGTGATTGGACGTTACTTCAACATTTTCTATTCAAATACACACGTTATGTTTATATTTATATATGTACATATATACACATTTTTTTATAAACACATTTATATTTAAATATATATATACACAATACTAAATTGTGGAAAGAGGTGATGCAAGTAAACTTCAGTGGTACAAAATATACAAGCCATGTATATATTTGTGTATTTAGATATATTCACATATATATTAAATAATGAAAAGAACAAATATTTTAGGTGCCAAATACACATACATATACTTATATATATATATACATATATATATATATATATGTGTGTGTGCCTGTGTATTTGTGTCACAAAACTCCTGAATGTAATCACTGAGCGTTTCATTTGCCCTCTCATGATGCAGTTCTCCTGACGCACCTCACGGGCGCGTTGTTCTCACACTTTCCATTTAGCAGCAGTGATTACAACAAATTACCATCTCTGTTTCCAGACATGATTGAATCCAGGCTCATCGATCTCCCCCTCCCGCCCCGCCTGTAGATTAGTCCACGCCGCGCAGCGTGGATCGATACCGGCCGATCTAATAAAGCGGGTCGCTTATGAGGCCACCGCGGGGCTGTACACACTGTTACACCAGCAATTACCAGCTTCTGCCCGCGGCCTTTCACACCCCTAACTTATCTGTGCTGGCTCCACTGCCTGCTTGATTTATTAATAATAACAGTAATAAAAAGGCAATGAACAGAGGCTCCATAATCACAGAATAAATGTAATGGTGTGTGTTTCGGTGGCCTGATAAACACACCGGGACATTTTCTGGAATGATGAGCTGTGTGTGCAAGAAAATCAGTTTCCTATAGGCTTCTACAACAGTGGCGGTCCTAGTAAATTTGACGCCAGTGCCACAAAAAGTCCCGCCCAAAAGTACGCTGACTTCCCGCAAAGAAAAAATCTATGTGCCACAAAAAGTCCTGCCCAAAAGTATGCTGACTTCCCGCAAAGAAAAAAAAAATCTAAACAAAAACAAAATGACGAATCATAAAAATTTAATCAAATAATAATAATAACATATGATAATTAATTAGAATTAATTATCATATGTCAATGCCTGACAGACAGCACAATTAAATATTCATCCGCTAGGTGACAGCAGATGGCTATGAAAACTAAAAAAAAAAGAATCAGAGCTGTCGAAGAATCTGTCTTTCTTCAATTCCTACGAGTATATCAGCATTGTCTTAAACTAAACAGGCCAAAATTTTTGTGAATTGTGAGTATATTTTAACTAGATGTTTTTTCCTATTTTATACATATACTTTTTGTCAGAATTTTGTTTGGTGGTGTGCTGTGGGGTTTTCCTAATGAAACAGTTCAAAAACGCATCTTTTGGTACAAATTCAGTAATTTTATCTTTTTTATTGCGTACATAAGTGTACACTCACCTGAAGGCGTGGCCTGTTTTCATCAAACCAGATTAAATCATATTTAATTCACATTAAGAAAGTCAAACATGTTGGATCACCATGATTTTATATAAAACCTCTGCTGCTGCCAGCATTCACTAACAGGTACGGTGAACTTTACCAGTAGGTTTTGCAAAACTCTCACACGGAGCACCTTCACAATTTATGTGCATATGTTTTGAATAATACAGACAGAGTGGAAAAATTGGTTGAATTTGAATAAAGAAGTCTTAAAACAAAGTGTTCTTTGAAGCAGCGGTGACACCAAGAAAAATAAATAAATAAATAAAACCAAGTCTCCTGATTTAGATAATGCCTGGCAACCTTTGAAAAGCACGTACCTACACTTGCATTGAGTTTGCAAAGCAACAGTCTGATAAAATAAGGCCTAAAACTTTTCCACAACAACGAAAAAAAAAACATTTTTTTAAACATTAATGCAACAAAGAATACCAATAGTTTTGTTATTTGTAAAAACAATAAACATATCACAGGAATACTAATACAAAATACTAATATACACAGACATTTACTTAAGTTAAAGCAAAACAGGGTCCCCCTAGCGGTGGACACAAGTACACATTTGAATTAGTTGAATATTACATATAGTTACTTAGTTTACTATAGTTTACTTAAAATAAGTAGTAACACTGAGCTTTTTAACACAAAATACAATGCAATTTTTTTCTTCCAATATCACACTTTTTCGATGATCATTAATGAAGGCACGATAAATAAATAATATTTAAATGCTAAATTCAGTTTCCATATTTTTTTAAACCAATCGTTTAAAAATAATACTTTGAAGCTAAAGTACAGGCAAAGTCAATGACACCACAACGGCAGCTACATACCTGGACATGACTTCTCAGGTCGGAACAGTGAGTGTTCGTCCTTAATTAGTTCAAAATAAATGTCGAAACTTAACCTATTTCTGCTACAAAGTCGGATAAAAACACGGGAAAAATATACGACAACAATCCATTGACTATCGCGCCGTTTCTTTTTGTACGTGAACCGCTAAAGTTACATTTTTGTTGTAATTTTTCCTCAAGCAGCGAAGACGCGTATGACGTCACACAGGTACGGCAACACGACTAGGTCAAACCATAAGCGAATCACCATGGTGGGACGCTAAAACGTTAGAGGCTTTGTTATGAAAACATCGCTATTAATCGCGTATTTTTCTTATTTATATGTATATCAGAAATTTACATGAAGGAACCATCTGACAAAGGGAAACATGAACTGGTGAGATGTTCAATTCTCTTGTAAAAACGAGCAAAGGATCATTACAAAAGTCAATAACCATATATTGTCCAGTTGTAAAAACGAGCAAAGGATCATTACAAAAGTCAATAACTATATATTGTCCAGTTGCTTTCTCTCTTAAAAAAATAAAAAATTAATTAACCTTGGTACAACTTTGCTTTCTCTCTTTAAAAAAAAAAAAATTAATTAACTTTGGTACAACAAATGGGGCAAGAATAAAAGACCTGACTTTCAGGTTCCAGAACTGTCTGAAATGAAGTCACATTTTAAAAAATGCACATCTCTGTTCTAAAACAAATAGTTTAAGATCTACAAAAGTGCAAACGAGACACTCTTACAGTTCAGATGCAGCAACTTCTGTGTCAGCCCAGATAATGTAGAACAACACAGCCTTTAAAAAAAACAAAACAAACCAACAAAAAACTTTTCTTCCTGTGCATATTTACACTTAACTGCTGCCCCAGAGACAGGTTCCAGTTCAGCTGGTGAAGGTGTGAGTCAACCAATCATTAATATTAATGTAAAAATAAAAGCTGGCTCATGAGAGAGGGAGAGCCTATGATTGAAAGACCCATAATTCCCTGTTTCTCTCCACATCCCCGTGGTGAGGCCATGTTGTAACAGAATCCACAGAGTCAACGGTGTGTGTGATACGGACTCAGCATGACTTAAGATCACACTTGGCGTGACTTTGTGTGAAAACATGTGACAAGCTTTGATATGGGAGCGAACTATTTCAAACACGCCGGCGTGAGCCTGCCTTGATGATTGTGGTGCTTTTCTCCAAAGGGCTATGTTCCTAATCCAATTCCTCAGCAGTTCCTGCAGTGTAAAACGAGACCTGAAGCAGCATGAGACAGCAATTCAGGCGATGTCCTAGGAGGGATGCTTAACACGGAGGATGAATAGACACTCTGTTGTCATAGAGAGCATCTGGAGAGAAGAGACTATGCAAATTAGCGACCCGTCTGCGTGTAAAGCCAGCCAACCAGAACAGGGAGAAATGGGATGTTCGGTATCAAAGTGTCATACGTTGAGAGTAGATAAAAGTGGAAACATAAAAAAAAGGAAAAAGGGAAAAGAAGCTGCTTTTCTTCTGCTGTGTAAAGCTTGACTTAAAGCAGCGCAGACTTGTTTAAATAAATGCCAGTTTAATTATCCTGACTTTGGCACAGCTCACGGACCCAGACTACCTGGAACCAGGACCTCCCGCTTGCAGCTGCACACATGGGATACATTTGAAACTGTCTCTCACGCAGCACGCTCACTTCAACGTAAAGGCCCCGGCGTCTGTGAAGCTCCAACCGAGTAAAAGTGAAAACTGATGAGAAATATTCTGCTCAGCTCGACTCGACTGGATCTCATTTTCACCCAGCAGCCATAACGGGAACCTGGTGCAGAGTGTTAGGAAGATGAGAGGTGTTTAACACCAGAGGGCCCCAGGAGTGTCGACTGATTTAAAAGATTGGGACTGAATTTTAAAACAAGCATAGAGATTGACGGTCGTTTTTTTTCCTAAATGAAAACACATGTGGTAACGCAGTGGAACAGTGGTTATTGTTCCTGCCCCCTTAACTCCCATTTTCATCAGTTTGTGTCCCGGTGGTCTGTATGGAGTTGGCACGTTCTCCCTGTCTGTGAAAGGAGGTTCTCCAGGTTCTTCTCACAGAACAAAAAACCTGCAGGATCAGGTGAATCCTTCAGTGAATTAACCACAGGTGTGAATGTGAGTGTGAAAAGTTATTGTATATGAGGTATAAACTGTGGCTCGATGTCTGACGACACGAACAAATTAATCGAGAAGATAAATAAATAAGAAAAAAAAAACAAGAATAAAGGGTTAGGGTTAGGGTTAGGCATTTTCTCTGCCTGATAGGTGGCGCTGTTCGCACTTTATAATACATGATATTAAATCTGCTCTTTAAAAAGAATAGATCAAATGGTGTAAATGTCAAAACACCCACAACTTTGGAGTGTTTTTACTTACCGACCCTTGAACCTCCGTCACTGTTTTACATCAGGGATAAATACTGGGTAAAAAATACCAAAGAGCAAATCACTGAAGAGACGGGGTCAGCGCTCTTACCTGACAGCAGGGGCCTCAGACTCATATAAACTGGGAGGGGCCACTGCCGCCATCATCATCTCATTGGAGGGCCACATCAGTGATGGATTCTTATAAGAAACAAACCACTGTATGTATGTTACAATAGCACAAAAAGCAAAAGGACGTTTTTTGTTTTTTTTTACTCCTACTGATTTACTCTACATTGGTGAATGGTGTGAATGTGAGTGTGAATAGTTCCTCTGTTAATATGATGGAGTGGCAAACTGTCAAAGATAATCTGCACCAGAGGACTGCTGGGATTAGATCGAGTTTCCTCCGACCCACTGAGAAGGATTAGGAGGGAAGAAGGGAAACGGACGGGCAGCAGTGGAGCAGGGTTAGTGAATGAAATAAAAAATGTAAATTTAAATTAACTATTTTTTCTAATTGGGTCTAACAGATATCCTGTTTTAATAATGCAGTGTGACATCAGAAACACAGTTTTAGATATATATATGTACAGTATATACACACATATATACATATATATGTATAAATATACCAATATACATATATGTGTGTATACATATATATGTATATATAAATATATTTACACATATATGGGTGTATACATATATGTATATATGCATATACATATATGTATACTCACACGTGTATATATATACGCATATATGTATACACATATGTATATATATGTATATATGTATATATATGTATATGATATTTCCAAAATAAAAAAAGCAGTTTCATTCATATACACTGTGTGTGACTTAGAGTCTGGTAGAAATATTGATCAGCTCTGAGCGCTGTTGGTAAAACGCTCTTGACTTTGTCGCTGGCAGCAGCGGTGAAGCGGAACCTGTGAGAATAACAAGGCAGGATCAAATATTGAAAAGAACGTGAAGGCTCCTTCTTGTTATAACCCACTTCACAGACTTAACATCTTAAGTCCATTTTTTTACCCTCCACTGAGTAGGGGGTCAAATATTCACCCTGGGAAACATATACTTCATCCGCTTATAAAGTTTTGAAGAAGTAGACGCACCATGTGTGAGGAAAGTCAAGTGACATTGTACTGATTGGTGGAGGACGTTACACTGTAATCCTGATTTTGTCAAGTCCTTATTTTAGACTGAGCAGAATCCTGAGACTTTCTTACGCAGTCAAAATGCAGGCGTTGATCACGTTTAATTTTCATTCAGTCTCATTCTCGGAAATCTCGGATTTCTGATTTTCAACTCATTCAGCGTTGGGTGTAAAATGAATAACATTAGTTTCTAAGATGAACATTTAAGACTTGAATTACTTTCACTTTTTAACGTTTTCAGGCACCAAAATATATTTTTCTCTCTCTCTTTTTCAATTAGCACAAAGCTTGGATAAGAAGCACTTGATTTTTAAGAGATAAGATACATCAAATAAAGTCATCCAGAAAATGAGGCTCCACTTACACCACACACAAAACAAGGCCCTTTTACAAATCTAGTCTTTTCATTAAGGACATGGTAAATGTAATCATTTATAAATTATTTAATTATTTACTTACCGTTTTACCCTGAACTCACTTCACCTGCCTCTGCTCGATGTTTACGATTTTTCTACTGATTAATGTTTTGTAAAAACATCCTTCAATGATTCAAAGACGATATCTAAAAACTGACATTAGCTAAAAGCCCTTACCTTTGAAGAGCATTTGAAAAGATTTGCTTTAATCCAGCCCTTACCTTTGAAGAGCATTTGAAATGATTTGCTTTAATCCAACTTGGTATTTGGTACATTTGAATTACAACTCTGTGTTTTCGGAGAAAAAAAAAAGTGTCCCAGCAAAAAGACAACAACAAAAAAATATTAAAAAATGTGGTGTGACAGTGAGACTGCAGGGAAACAATTCTTGCTTCCAATAATAGTCTTGTGTTTTGTATTCCTGAAGAAGTAATCAACACCAGCAATATGAGCTTTAAATATTCTGTTAGGCAATTAAATATAGGACAACTTGTGGCTACAGAACTGGCTGTGTTGAAATCTGATGCAGCAAAACGACAGTATAATGCAGTTTCAGAGAAAAGGCGAGATAGCATATATACACGTATGTATTCACACATATATGCATATTTATATATTCACATATACATATATATATGGGTTAGGGTTGTATATGATAATATGTTAACATTTTTACATATACAGAAACTTCTATCAGTTTTCGATATATGTACACATATACACTATATACGTATTTACATACATACATATAATATATACATATATGCACACATATATACACAAAAATCTATATAAATATTAACACATCTTTATCTTTAAATATATGTATTTCAATACATAATATATATATTTATATTTAAATATATATTTATGTATATATGTTTGTACTGTATGTGAAATAATAAGAGGGTTTCTGAAAAAATATATATTTAAAAAAATATATATGATCAAGTAATCAGTCATATACGTGGTGGGCATGAATGAACTGGTTTCTGAAAAAATATATATTTAAAAATACGTGGTGGGCATGAATGAACCACGCATGCGGCTACGTTTAAACTCTGTTTCATTTTTCCACCAATCCAAAGCCTGCCTCTCCGGGGGCTGATTGTTCCGCACACTAAAACACTAAAACACAGTCTTGGGAAACGTGGCCTACACTGTACGTGGAGGACAACGTCAAGGCTGCGTCTTAACAACACGCCACAGTGACAAACATGTCATCAGAGAGGATCAAAGAGCATGAAATAAAGCCATTAGCTCCATTATCCAAGAAATTGCCTCCCTGGCTTCAGGAGGGCCCCGGAGTACAGGCTATATAAATGTAAATGGATTTACTGCTAATTGTGATGTTGACTCCTGGGTTTAACACACAACAGAGACGTGAGGCAAAACCTCCAGTCTCTACTTGGTCTGCGTTCAGTCTGAGTCACTCAGTGTTGAGTGGAGGGGGGGAAAAAATACAGTAAGTACTTTGAGATCTATGTATTGGCAAAGGTGCTCACGGGTCTATTAATACCAGAGAGTCTATTAGTATCAGTGTTATCAGACTGGCCGTAGATAAAAACACAGCTCAATACTGCACTCGGTTCCTCACGTTACAATGGCCTCTTACACCACAAGGTCATTTCCAGTCCCCACAGTCTCCTTATCTCCACTCCCCTGAGTGTTTCACTGATGTGCGTTCCACAAATAAAAGCCTACGTGTGTGTACGTGTGTGTGTGTGTGTCAGACTAAATTATGACCCACGGGTTGTGTTTTATTGCAATCATATTTATTTATTGTTTTGCCACGTAGAAAAGGCTCAGATTGCAGATGGCTCTTCACAGAAGACGCTACATTCTTCACTAAAATGTGAACGCACGAACAATTACACACAAATCCATTAAAAAAAAAAAAAAAACAGAAAAAAGAAAAATTTGCGATTCTTAGTGAAAGTGAAAGTTAGCAATTCCCAAAAAAAAACCAAACAATTAACTCCTGTTTCATCGTTTGACCGACCGACAGATTGGTGTGAAAATAAATTAAATGACAATTAATTAATTAATTCTTTTCATAATTAATCATATCAAATAACTCTACACGCTATGACCTACTTTTTAAATACATCAACGTATTAATTTTTAAAAAATACACATACGTGTTATTTATCAAAGAAATCGTGAATAAAATGTGTTAATTCTTTCCTATCTCAAGTTTTAAAAAATAATTTCGTGAAGAAAGTGTTTGGCCAAAAATAATTATTCCACTCAGTTAAACCACAAATTAGAAGAAGTTAAATCAGTAAACAACAACAGAGGGCTGGTCAACAAGGCCAATAATACTCATCACAAGAAAAACGACATATTTGTTGCATTAAATGACGTCAATATAAAGAACTGAGGAGTGAATTTGGTGTCAGTTCTGAAAATGTATCTCAATGGAATGTTTTTTCAAATTCAATAATCAGAGTTTGTTCAATCAGGAACATTGAACTGATGGGAATGTAAACATACATTTAACCTTCGACAAAGAGAATAATGTGACGTTTATGATTGAATTACTGTCCAGCCCAATGCAGGAAGTAGATCACGGGTTGTGATATAACAATAAAAGAATATTATTATTTTTTTCTAATTTTAAACCAGTTCCTACTGGAATGCAGCATTTTCTTGTTGCACCATATATTATCTACATGTTAAAACATAAAAGAATTCAACAATAAAAACATAAATCCACACAGTGATCATCAGTGTGTTCAGAGGAGACGAACAGATGAACTGAGGAGTGAGACGAGGACAATACCAGCCGTCCAACCAGAGAAGAACCAAAAAAAAACAAACCCTCTCCCCCCCATATAGACCAACACCACACCCCCAGCGTCGGGTGGTGACCCACCAATCCATTCCCAGTGAAACCAGTTTAATCCCACTAGGGGGTGCAGCAGCCCTGCCTGCCGGTGTGTGAACGAGTCCACGCCATTTTCCAGAAACCATTACAGTAAAAATAAACTGTTAAAGGCGGCATGAATCACTGTGAAATACAAATGAGGCCGTCACCGACAGAGAAAACACAAGAAGGGCCACCGGCTAAGTGGCCGACCTCTGACCTGAGCCACTCAGTGCAGTATTATGTTTATATTTGGACCAATTCCAGCTCAGAGTCAGAAAACACGAGGAGCCGCGAAGGAACCAGGGAACGGAGGGAGACGACCGAATGAAAAAGTGACAACATTTCGTTTGAAGGAGTGCAGACAGAGTCATTGTTCTGCCCTCGGAGCGGTGAGTCATGTGACCCTGTCCACACCGTGGGCCGCACCGCGCTGCACTACTACTAACACAACAGGCAGGAGCAGAAGGGAGAAAGGAGGAATCACAGTGATTGGTCCGTCCCTGAGTCACCGAAGACCATCGACTCTTTTTACGGTATTGCATTAGCTTAGCATCGACGGCGTCGCGCCGTTCGACGTCTGAATGTGGATTGCATTGTGTACGAGATTGTCTGTGAGCGAGGAGACCCAGAATGGCAGAAGATAACGGGGCGAGAGCCGCGGTGGAGACGGACGACGGGAGTCAGGTGGTCAGCAGGAGGAGGGTGACCACCAGGAGGAGCAGGAGCGACGCTCCGCACGGTAACGACACACCACTGTGAGCTGAAGTATCTGGAAGAGAAGAGTCGGAGTGTGGAGTCAAAACACTGATGACATCACTGATGACATCACTGAAGGTCACAGGACACTGACCCAGGCATGGGCAAACTACTGTTTCCACATGGAAAAATTCAACATTAGGTTTCTGGAGAGAAGGGAAAACATGAACATTTCTAGTTAATTTTTCGATAAATATTGAGTTTTGGCTCGAGACTTCGTCCCAGTTTTTAAAATTGGGTTTGACACCCCAGATAAAGTTTGACTTACAAAAAAAAAACAAAAACTTTTTTTAACTCCTTATCCACATTTGTGTTCTTGTCAATGATCCTTGCCTGACAGTTGGATTGATTATTGATTGGTTGATTGATTAAAGTCACCGACCTGTAGAAGAATTACATCCAAGGTGGTGGGAAAAAAAAAGAATAAAAAAAAAAATCAAAAACAAAATTCATTGGTTTCATCAGATGAAGACACTCTGTCACTCCATCCGTATGACAGTGAGAATACTGAAGTAATACTGTAGTACTGTAACACAGTAGTACTGTAGTTGAGAAAGTAGCCTCTCACCTTGTATTAGTTTGGAACCCTCTGACGCTGTAATGAGAGAGAAAATAAAAGAGAGCAGATGAAGATGAAGTCGCAGCAGAGGAACAAGTTGCTGATTAGTCGTTTTTTTTTGGCTCAACTTTCTCAATAAAGCCACTTTGGAGCAGGAGGAGCAGGAGGAGCAGGAGGAGCAGGGAACAGACAAACGACCAGGGGACAGTGTTTACCATTAGTCAGAGCCCAACGGCAGGAAAAATGAGTTCTGACTCGGCCGTGCGCTCCAAAATATGTCCCCCATGCAAATTCTCTTAAAGGTCGGATAAAAAAAAAAAATAGCGTGAGACGCCGGGCAACAGGAAAATATAGTGTTATGTAAATGAGACGGAGCGGGAATGATGGAGATTAGAGAGAGAGGGGACACAGGAAATGAAAAGGAAAGGGGGGAGGAAAAAAAAAAAAAGGGGGAGACGCCTCAACATGACAGAGCGAAACCAAGAGGTGGACAGAAGATGAAAGGAAGAGTGAGGACGGACGGAGACGGGCCGAAAAAAAGGACTGAAACAAGGTCAGACAGAGAGGGAGGGAGGGAGGGAGGAAGGGGTGAGGGAGGGAGGAGAGAGAGTGAGATGGGATGTTTGTGTCTGGACGTCACATTCTCAGTGGGGGGGGGGGGGGGGGACTAAAAGGAAATAATGGAGGGAAGGATAGAGGGACGATGGCCAGGGGGGAGAGGGAGGGGAGGAGGGGAGGGAGAGAGGGGGAGGAAAAGTACAAAAACACAGGTGAGGTGAGACTAAAGAGCGGAAACGTTTTCCAAGCACTCAGAGCGATGGCGATGGCAGCAGCAGCCGCGAAACACCGGGGAGGGAGAGGCCGAGGTCGAGGCTCAGGAAACAGGGATCAAGCTGCAGGAGAGGAGGCTCAAACACAGGTACGCAGCCACAGACGCAGACGCAAACGCACGTCTGGACGACGGACGCCGAGATTAACTGAGGAGAGGAAATGAGGCGCGGGAGAGCGTCACGGAGCCAGAGGTTGAGTACAGTGTATGAATGACACAGAGACACAGAGACAGAGAGACAGAGACAGACGTGGTCCAACCTCAGGTTCCTGCAGCAGCGTGTTTCTTCAACAAGACGTCAGCCTGGAAATGAGTCCCCAGTCTGAACAACTAACGACTATCTGTGGGTTAATGAAGCAGGAAATTTTATGCTGGGCCGCGGCCTCTCTGTAGACCACAGAGAGTGTGTGTGTGTGTGTGTGTGTGTGTGTGTGTAGAACCAACAAAGAAAAACAACAAACGGAGAGTTACTCCAAGCCTGTCATCAGTTAAGATCCAATTTATTTTCCTCAAATAGATCAAGATTTTTTTTTCCCCACAGGAATCTAATATCCAAACAATTAGATGTTGGAACAAACGTCGCTGATTCAATAAATTTATCATTTGTTTTTTCAGCATTTTTCCAAACAACAAAATTACAAAAAAAATATCTGAATGATATGGAGAAAATCAAAATTTATTTTTCCTGATTACAGACATTCTGTGAGCGGCGAGGATTTATAAGTTTAGAAATCTAAAATAAAAATAAAATTTTTTTTTTTTTTTAAAAATCGCCGGTGAGTTTTTTTTCTTCAGCGCGTGTTAAAAACTCGCCGCAGTTTGGACGTAAAACGTCTCCAAATGCCTCACGTTTATCCGCCTGTGTGTGACGCGTGTGTTTTGACCTGTCTTTAATCACGTCCATTGTCCAAAGGGGATTTTTTTTTTTTTACGTCTCAACGTCTTGATTTTGGTGACGGCGAGCTTCGCCACAAAATGGCGCCTGCAGTGGCGTGACGGCGAGAGCCGAGCTTCCACTGCACTGCAGTCAGAGACGCACTGTAGCAAGAGCAAATGCACGTGCACGACACTCACCTACATGTCTGTGTGTGTGCGCATGTGCACGTGTGTGTGTGTGTGTGTGTGTGGAGGACTCGGCAGAACGCTTCACTGCAGAGAAAGATACTTCCACCATCACAGCTCGTCTTCTCTGCCGCCGCCGCCATTTTAAACACACACTGCTGCTAATGCTAACCGACCCTGACTGTCGACCGCCGCCTACAGGTCAACGAGTCCTCATTTCATTTTAATAACTACGATTCGTACGAACATTCACCCGGACGTTAAGGTGATTCTGTCGGCCCAGAGTCGATGACGCTCCACGGACGAAAGTGTTTGTTTTCGTGTTAAAGTTTCGTTGACTGCAGCTGCCAGGGTGAGAGTGGGGGAGAGAGAGAGGGTGAGGAGGGCAGCCATGTAAAAAATAAAAAAATAAAAAAAACAGGAAAAAGAAAAGATCAATCTGTGAGTTTCACGGACGATAAAAAACGGGACGAAATGAGGAATGAACGGAGGAGAAAGAAACAACAACAAATAAATAAATAAATGAACAGGTTAGTCTGTGGTGAGGGGAGAGGAGGGTGAGGGTCAAAGACACAGATTTCACATGACACCAGTCTGCTGCTGCTGCTGCTGCTGCTGCTGCTGAGACCAAGCCTGCTGTTCTGATGCAACTCAGGCTCAAGCTCCTCTCAGCGAAGCCCCTTCTCTGGTGTGATCTATGACAGCGCCCAGTTCAAAACAACATCACATGCCCACTCCCATCAGCACCACCCCCACCCCCGCCCCCAAAACAACCACGCACACACACATCCAATCAACAGTTCCAGCCGAACATCAAAAGTCAGTCACGACCAGTTTCTGGTCCGGGTCTCATCAGAACCTGGAACTGTGTCTGAAGAACAGGAATAAACGCAGTGGCACCAACACACACACACACATACACACACACACACAGAGAGAGAGCAGATACTGCGTCACTGCAGCTGTCCGGCCTGCGCTGCTGTGTTCTTGGGTTAAATTAAGACGATAAACACACACACACACACACACACACACGTCCTGGCCGAGGGACCGCGGCGAGCGGCGTCCGACCTTGGAGCGCCTGACGGACCTGCTCACTGTCACCACTCTGTCCTTCAAACCCACACCGGGCTGCCGCATGTGTGTGTGTGTGTGTGTGTGTGTGTGTGTGATTAATTCCAATGACCACAACAGGGCATCCCCACATGGAACTGGTTTTTAATCAGACCGACGAGGGGGGAGAAAAAGTTTTGGATGAGAGACGAGGTGTTGCTAAAGGACAAGAGCCTCCCCTCTGTCCCTCCCCCTCCCCCTCCCTCACCCCCCTCCTCCCTCTGACACTGGCTGTACAGGCATAGTGCGACCCGCTGCCATGTTACCTGTCAGATAAAAGTGAACCTGGAGAGAACAGGACCAGAGAGACGGTGAGGTGTTACCATGGGGAACAAGACAACAGCAGCAGTGGGAAACTGGCACTAATGGACAGTCAGAGAGAGAGAGAGAGAGAGAGAGAGGGAGAGAGAGAGCCTCTAACTCCCCTTCATAAGCCACTCTATCATCCATCTCATTCACTCCTCTCTCTCTCTGTAGTCGTTCGTCCTCCAGTCCCTGAGCTCCAGTCAGGTCCAAGAACAGAGACAGAGACAGAAGAGAAGAGAGGAGAAGAGAGGAGAAGAGAGGAGAAGAGAGGAGAAGAGAAGAGAGGAGAAGAGAGGAGAAGAGAGGAGCTGTGAAACAGACATGGAGATGAAACAACAGTGAGGTGCCCCGGACGCGCCGGGGTACGAGGTCCAGGAGGGTGAGG